GATGGGGACTCAACCACCTCCCTGGGCAGCCCCTTCCAGTGCTTGACAGCCCTTTTGGAGAAGGAATTTTTCCTAATGGTTATACGGGGCATGAGCTGTAAAAGCAGCTGTATGAGGAAGGGTCTGCTGGAGTGGGGAAGGGAGCATGGAACGATCCCATTGCCGGGCCGGGAGGCACCGCAGGCAAGTGGATGCATGAAGAAAGCAATGGTGTCTGCTGGAAACGCAGGGAACGGATCCAGGGCAGGAACTGGGCTGTGTCTGAAGCCGTGTGTGAGGTTGTTAAATGCAATGGGATTGTTGTGCAAGTGGCCATGGCTCTTTGCCACGGAGCGTAATGTGGAGCATGCCTTGGGTTTTCCTTCCTTCCTTCCTTTCTTCCTTCCTTCCTTCCACGGGCGTGCAGAGGGCGTGGGCTGCTCTGCAGGGATCCAGAGGATGGTAGTGTACATCCCCTTGTATCTCGAGAGCATCCCAAGGCTTTTGCACTAACCTCACTTCAGCGCTATTCTCTCACGTGTTGCAGAGTGACTGGTTTCTCAGTTTCTGGTTTCTTCTTTGGGTGTGTTCTGCTTCATCGGATCATAGCAAAGCAGCGAAACGAATACTTTTCTGCTCCTGGAGGAAGCCTGTCAGTCAGCCTGCAGCTGGGCTAGTTTCGGTGCTGGTGGGCAATATGTATTTTTAATGCCCCAACTGTCTGGCAGGTGGGCCTGCAGTTTAATTTTAACTTGCTTTATGAGAACGAAACCAGCTGTAATCCATGGGCCAGTGAACTTCCATGAATGGGGGGAGGTCAGGAGAGATTTCCCCTCCTGTTCGACCTTTTGAGACCTGTAGGTAAGGCCTCCTCGGGCTGAGGTTAAAGCGCAGCTCAGCGTTTACCATGGTCCTAACAGCAGAATAGCCTTTGAGTAGAAAAGGGTGGTTCAAATCTTAAGCTTGATTCAGAGAATTCGTTCAGAAAAGGTGAAAACTGCAGCTGACAATAATAACCTCGCACACCTCTGGGGCTGATGCATTCAAAAAAAGCTTGAGGGACTTAGCTACACCTTTTTTAATTAAGAGAACATGGGTGTAAATCCTCCAGGCGACTTGGAAGATGCTCAGCTGCTGCTTGTGCCGTATCACTGAGTGTTGAAATGCACCTTGGCCTGACACCACTAGGTCTGCCCCTCCCGTTCCGCGGGAACTGCGAATTCTCAGGCAAAATTTGTCTTTTTTTTTTTTTTGTTTCCCCCCCCCCCCCCAGTGGTTTTGGTCTTGTGCTGCGCTGCCTCGGCCTCAGCCTCCGCATAGCATGTGTGAATCCCAGGGACTAATCCCAGCAGCTGACTTCTTGCCGGCCGCCGCGCTGCCCGGGGTCTTTTATTTCTGGAGGGGAGCAAATATTTGGAATCCGAACGGGGGTATTAGTGCAGAGCATATCCCACAAGGGATTTTTACACTTGCTTTGAAAACAAACCCAAACTCTCTCAGCAAGAGCCTCTGCCCATGGGGTATTAGGCCCTAAACTTGCAGAAAGACCAGTGGGGGTTGTACTTGTAGCTCCCGGGTACTGGGAATAGGAATAGGGTTTGCTCCCGAAAGCACGTGCTGGACTTGCAATTGCTCCTGGATCCGTGCAGGCAGCGTGGAGGTTGGACTCGATGACCTTAAAAGTCTTTTCCAACCAAATGATTCTGTGAGGTTGGGGTAGCTGTGGCTAAATCACTCGAGCAGAGTTCCCGAGCCTCGCAATCCCTCACCGCCACAGCCTTCTGCTGACCTTCCAAGGGGCCTTAGCTCCCGGCTGGAAACATTCGGCACCCAGTGTCCCCTGCTGTCCGTGGGAACATGCGCCATTTCCCGGGGTGGCAGCTGATGCCTGTTCCAGCCTCTTCTGGTCTTTTCTTCGAGTCCCATCAGTTCTTCTTCACGGATGATGGAGAGGTGCTAATCTGTGGTCTCCCCCTCCAGCTCCTTCACACCAGGATTTCACCAGCTATAAATTTTAGCAATAGGCTGGGAGCCAAATCCTTCGCTGGTATGAACGATTCAGAGGGAGAAGGTGGCAGGTTTAGGATCTGTCCTCTATCAAAGACCGTCCTCTGCGGAAGGGTGGGCAGATGGCTCAGCCTGCAGGCTCTGCCCCAAGCCTTTACTACACCAGCCGTGGAATTGGAGTTAAAGCGTACTCAACACCCCTCTGCCCAAATCACATGGGTCTCCCATAACTGACAGGCATCCTTGGCAGTGAAGAGGGGCTGTGTTTGTGCATGTAGTTCATCTCCTGAGCAGCCAAACCAACTTTTGAGGTGGCCATGTGTTTAAATCAAACATATGATGAGTGGAAACACTACATCTCATTTCAGTGCTCCAGCGTGGGAAACCTCATTGGCAGATTTACGTGGAGAGGTGAATGGTAATGTGCCAGGTCTGCTGTACCCCAAGTTGCCAAAATACTTTGCTCTAGCTTGGCCATGAACTTTGCATAGCCCCGTTGGGGAAGCACAGGGGATAAGGTGTAACGCCACGCTGCAGCGTGATGGTAGGGCAGCCCATTCTCACTCAACACCCTGGGGTAGAACAGGGCTCGTTTGCTCCTACTCGGAGTCAAACCTCAGTGGGTTATCCCCATGCTGCTTGCTGATACCTGGCTTCGGGTGCGACCGGCGAGACCGCACTGCTCGGGCCAAGAGGAAGAGTTGACAAGATGCTATGTCCTCCACCTCCGAACACAAACTAGTGAGATGCAGAAGTGAGGAAAGCCACGTCTCGCAGAGCACCCTCAGGCTTCGCTTTCTGCAAAGAGAAAAGCTACCTTGCAGTGGTGGTGGTGGCCAGTGCTTGGAGGGCTCCGCTACACCCGGAGAAATGCTCTTCTCTTGGCTATCGCCAAGAACCAGCTGAGTCTGCAGTACTATCTTTGAGATCTGACAGGGAGGTGGTTGAGTCCCCATCCCTGGAGGGATTTAAAAGAAGGGTAGATGAGGTGCTTAGGGACAGGGTTTAGTGGTGGGATGGCAGTGCTAGGTTAATGGTTGGACTTAATGATCTTAAAGGTCTTTTCCAACCTAGATGATTCTGTGATTTTGTCTGTAAATGGCTGATTTTCTTTGCCTGTTATGGCTCACATGCCAGCATTTCTGCAGTCGTCTTTCTGATGTGACTCCATCCTCCGAGTGCTCTGACATGGGGCTGTTGATAACGTGTATAAACTGGTGGGGATGGGCCTTGTGGGCTAGATAA